GTATTACACAGGCTTGTTTAAATGTTGTGCAACAAACTTTAAAGGAGCTTCAACATGCTGTTTCTTCAGCGGTGGAGTCTTGCAAGTTGGACATTTCAACAATCAAAATGTATTCCAGTTGTGTTTCGACAAATACACTGTACATTGTGACAAAGAGCCTGTTTGCCTGCCACACAGGAACCCTGCTGCCAGTGTTCTGTGTGGTGCAGCACAAGGAAGCTTCTCCAGAGGTCGACAGAAGAGAAGAGCATGCCGAGTTTGTGCTGGTCAAACGAGACCTGCTGTTTAATCAGCTGATAGAGATGGCCCTGTTGTCGCTGGGTTACTCCCACAGCTCTGCAGCACAGGCTAAAGGTACCCAACACACACACACACACACACATATATACACACACCTACATCTTTAGACTTTCTCTTCTTGATGTATCTGTGTGTTCAGGTCTGATCCAGGTCGGCAGGTGGAACCCAGTGCCTCTGTCCTGTGTAACTGACTCTCCTGATGCTACAGTGGCCGATATGCTGCAGGATGTTCACCACGTTATCACGCTTAAGATACAGCTGCACAGGTAGGGAGCACGCACAGGAGCTGCCCTTCACAGCTGAAGCTCCTGTTTGCATTTAGATTAAACTCAGTATCAAATTCTGAGCAAACCATTAAAGTGCAAAAATAAATTAAGACTAAATGGAGCTTACCTAAAAGTTTTATTAGGAAAAATAATGAAATTTTCTACTAGACAAATTAGACTTTAAAGCCCAGGCACAAGCTAAAAACTGGCTCTGCATTTAAATCTTGAAAATAAAAGTGCAAGTATTCATCCCTCCTGACATTTTCTGCTGTGAGAATTTAAAAAGAAAATGAAACTGGAAGAGTGATTGTTTTCTCAACTTTCACAAGTTTATTTAAGGCTTCAGCTTCCACACAGCCCAGAATTTCATTTACACCATGTGATGAGGTGTGTTTTCTTTAGTGCATGAGACGCTGTATGTAAAGTGCTTGCAGGCAGTCATAAATGTAAAAGAACTGTACAACTTTCTCTGTGTCTCTGAGAGGAAGCCTGAGAAGCATTATTAAAGGTGAATTGTGAATAAGTAACATGTGTCAAAAACATCTTTAAATTTGGAAAAATTATATATATGAATTGTTTTTTCTGGGTTTGATTCAGTTGTCCCAAACTGGAGGACTTGCCAGCAGAGCAGTGGAGTCACTCCAAGGTGAGAAACGCTCTGAAGGAGCTCCTTAAGGATATGAATCAGAGCTCCCTGGCCAAAGAGTGCCCACTTTCCCAGGTATAACACACACACACACACACACACGTTAGTTCTTCTATCCTCACGGGGACTTTGCACTGACTTCCATTCATTTACTGGTCATTTTGATAGCCTAACCCTGATCCCTTACTTCAAACCTAACCTCACAGACACACGCCTGACCCAAAACTTAACCTAAACCAAAATCTCACCTTAGTCCTAAACTGAACCCCTGACCCACCAACAGTATTTCCCCCAATGGGGACMAGGCTTTTGTCTCCATTAGGAACAGTGGGTCGAATGGTCAAAATTTGTCCCCACCAGGTAGCAAAAACATGTACACACACAATACTATCGCTCATATAGATTCTATATAGATAATGCAATCCATGGCCCTTGCCCTTATTGATTAATCCTGACTRGATTTCATTTGCTAACCCTAAAATCAACATTTACCCTTGGAAAATCACTTATAAATACATTTACATTGTAAACAAACATATAAAGCAAGCAAAATAAAAGAATGGACGTATTGCTTTTTCTCTTCCCTGTTCTGTGTGTTTCTCTGTGTTTGTGGAAAAAGCATGTGGACCAATAATTACACAGGAAGTCCAGATGCTGCGGTTGATAAGGTCTGGGGATGGAGTGTGGGGGAAGAGAAACAGATTAAGGGAGATCAGTATCTCTTAAAAAGCCACACCGCCTTGGCTGCTGCCTATCTGTATCTGCAGACTGTCAGTCAGTCTGTCTGTGGCAGCTCCACCTAAACTTCCCTCATCTGAACGCCACGCTCTGCTTTGATTCTGAGCTTTTTCTGCAGGTTTTTAAACTCACTTTATCATACAGACACAAATATAGAATAAAAAAATCTATTTTTTCACATTGATTTGACTAAAGAAGCACTGGACACGTACTTATTATAAAGCTTTATTTTAAATGATTTCCTTTGCTGCTTTAAGATCTAATAAAAGCCTCCTCCCCATCCCTTTTATCAGTCCCTTAACCTCCCTCTGTTGTTTGTGAGAGGCGGATTAAAATTAAAATGTGAAGATGAAAAGTGTAATCAGATGTAAAGATTGCACAGGATGGTCTTGAGGGGAAAGCTGTGTGTGTTGCATGTCAGGGAGCGAGAACCACGCGTCGTCTCTGATGACCTCTGGTGTTTTGTCTGATAACACGCACACACGAGTGCAAAACCAAGCGTGYGCGCGCACACAGCTCACATTCTGACACACTCATCAGTCTTTATTATMCTATTTACCTGGGGGTCTTTTTAATAACACAGATCTGAATTCGTTAATATCAGATGTGTGAACAGCTGAGATGCTCAGACCACCGTTCCCCCTCCTCCCCAGCAGGAGCGGGGAGGAGGRGGAACGTAATGAATTCCTTTTGTCTTTTTTTCCCCTTCTGTTTCAGAGCATGATATCGTCCATTGTAAACAGCACTTACTATGCAAACGTCTCAGCTGCCAAGTGTCACGAGTTTGGTCGGTGGTACAAGCACTTCAAGAGGTCCAAATGCTTCAAGGGTGAGGGAGACTTTCATTCTTTTTAAGGAGCATCAAGTGTGAATTATGAGTTTTACCGTGCACAATTGCATGCAATTTGGAAATTACCAGTTTAAAAAAAAACAATGTCTTATTGTATAAAGCACAACACAACATAAGGTGGACAGAAACTCAGATGTGTTTTTACAAAGACTTGGACTAAAGCTTGGAGTTATTTAAATAGAATACTAGGAGCTTGGATCACTTCTAGCAAAATATGGAATTAGATTTGTGCATAAAATATTGAGGAAAAACTCTTAGATGTTCAAACAAAAATTAAAGGGCCAGTATTATGTGTTTCTCAGGTATACATTTAAATACTATACCATAATAAATTATCTATATCACCTTTAGTTTTATTAAAATGCTGTTTTTATGTTTAAACAGAAAATAAACGTCTTCTCATGACTTCCTCTTCTAAACGCCTTGAAATTGGCCTCTTTCCCTTTAAGAACCACCTTCCGCTTCTGTCCCGTCCCATTTCAGTGTGTGTG